AATGAAGAAAACACATGTCCAACCGTAACACGCTAGAAAACATCTTTATTTTCGCTGGTGACAACAAAGGCCACTGGTGGTAGGAATGGACTGCTAAGTTCCTCGCATTTCCCCAAGTGTGGGTTTAATCGACAGCACATGCATTTCTTGAAACTATTTCCTTGCTCGGAAGAATTATTCTCCTCAAATACCCACCCGTCCTAAAGAAAGGGGACATTATTGATATCCAGAATTCCTCATTCCTGTTCTGTCGATAAGCAATACTGGAAAGAGATTCAAAGGCCAAAAAGTATTGGCATTGATGTGGAAGGCTGAACGGACTGGTGGGGTGGGCTGCGGGATCTGTGCTCTAACGGGCTGAGCAGTAGAGTCCAATGAGTAGTGACTAGAAGAAAACAAGGTTCAGGCAAAAGTTAACACCGTCAGCTACTGGGATAGTCTATGGAGGGCTCTGGGTGTGTTTTCCGGAGAGTCTAAGGTGTGGAGCCCACCGTTCTGGGCAAAACTCGTACCTGAAGAGACAAGAGAAAGTCTCACCAACCCAGCCACATAGGACTATAACTCACCAGAATTTTGTGTGGGTTTTTTTGTTTGTTTGTTTGTTTTAAGAAAAGCAACAGAAACTCAAAAACGACAAGTTGGTTCTTTTTCCTCTCCATGTTAAAGCAAGTAGCCCGTGTTACCTACCTTCTCCCTGACGCATCCAGGGTGCCGTGCGGGGTCAAGCGTATTTCTGTATTTGCAACAAAAGCAGATGCTCGGTGTCTGGTGGGAGGGATCTGAAGGGGAAGCTGGAGCTGCTAATGTTTTAAATCTGGATGAAGGCGAGGGGTTTCAGGACTTGCTCTCTCATAGAAAGAAATGTGTGCTTCTGTTCTCCTGTGGATGACGGGGATTTCGAGGTGCTTCCTGGGGCCGGGGGCCATTGTGGCTTCGTGGGAGGAACACCGGCCCCTGCACGTTTTATGTCCACTTCCCTCTCCCGTCTGTAAAATGGGACTAAGATGCCCTCCCTCAAGGTTGCCACAATAATCAAATGAGCTAGACAGTGAGCTCTTTCCCAGGCTCTGATGGGGGTCCCAGGATTCGTTCTTGCCGTCACTGAAATCCCTTTAACCCTCACAAGAACTCTTTGAAGTTGTTCTACCCATTACACAGGTGAGGAAACAGAGGCTTAGAGAAACAAAAACGCTGCCCACGATCACACACTAGTAAGTAACTGAGCAGGGATGAGAATTCGGGTCTGATTGCAAAACATTCTGGAACAATCGAATATGTGGTTTTCCACTTTTCCTTAAAACAATTCCCTGCTTCTTTCGCTGGCTTGTGTTCCAGCTGACCGCTCCAGGGGGGTTTGTCAATTGTTAGTCAATTCTTAGCCAGGGAAGCGGTCCTTAATGGTCAGGGGGGACGGAAGGCCGCATCTTCCAGGAATTCGGCAGACCCCAGCAGGAGGCAACCACACAGGCCTTTGGCAAAAGATCACTTTTCAACAACGTTGTCAATTTCAGTGACCCCTGACCTTCCACCTGCCGGTCCCTGAACAGCTGCTGTGTTGTGGGAAGCAGTGGCAGTCTGTCTTCTTTTAAAAGGCACATGCATACCCCCCTCTCCCTGCCCCCCTGCTGAGATCCCACCTGGGATTTCAGCCCCAGAGCGGGCGGTCATCTCCCACATCCAGAAATGAAGCAAAAAAAAAAAAGAGGGGCAGGGAGTACAGCTTTGACAACTGACCTGAACTCTCCCTTTTAATGTAAGCCAGGTTTAGCATATGTCATTCTGTAAATCCGGGAGTCCGATTTGAGGCTTGTAATTTGCTGCTCCTCCAAGGGCGGTGGAGCCTTGCCAAGCACATCAAGGTAAGCGGGGGAAGATATAATTTGCCCGCTGCGAGCCCGCGTTTGCAGTTCCCTATTGTAATTTTTATTTGTGTTGAGGTTTTGCGGTTTCGAAAGAGTCAACTAGATTTATTTTAAAACGAAGGCGGGCCAGCATCAAAGGCAGGCAGAGGAGGATGTTTCGGCATTAGGAGGAAACCCCGTGTAATCTCTTAGAGCCGCGTTCTTTCTCAGGGTGCGTAACCGCACATGGTGAGGGGCCTCTCACAGCCAGCGTGCTACGTGTCTCTGACCTCGACCTACCCCCACGGGTGAAAATCCCTTTCCAATGGGATTTAGAAGCCCCCTCGCTGCTCCCCAGCCACTTAATCTAATCCTGTTTGTCACTGGACACGCTGCGTGAAGAATAAGGGGCTCCACGCTGATGTCCTTTCTTGCTGGGCAGGCTCCTGAGATACGAGTCCGGTTGGGCCAGTGGCTCCCTTTCAGACACCAGGTAGCCTTTCAGGCCAAAAAACAGGACCATTTGGATCGTGAGTCATTTATGTGGGAAAAGAGAAGAAAGTTTATATGGAAAGTTCCTCTTAAAAAGAACAGCAGGTGTCACCTGAAGTGCTTTTTGTTTGTTTTTGTTTGTTTGTTTGTTTGTTAATGCTACAGGATTTTTTCCCACCCACTTACTTATATAAAATGTATTTGTTTATTGGCTCATGTAGGAAACTCATGTGCTTCCTCTGTTCTAAGCACTTTAAGTGATAGACTAGGTAGGTAGGTAGGTAGATAGATAGATAGATAGATAGCAGATAGACAGATATAAGGAGTAGAGTGGTAGACACAGGCAGACAGATCAAGTTGTTCCTCAAAGAAGCTTTTTAAGAGAGTTGCTATTATCCCCATTTACAGGTGAGCAAATTGAGCCACACCGGCTTCTTGCGCTCTACAAATGTGCCTCTTTAAAAGGGAGATGAGCCCTAACTGGTTTGGTTCAATGGGTAGAGCGTCGCTCTATAGACTGAAGAAGGGTCCCAGGTTTGATTCCTTTCAAGGGCACATGCCCAGGTTGCAGGCTTGATCCCCAGTAGGGGGGCGTGTAGGAGGCATCTGATCGATGATTCTCTCTCATCATTGGTGTTTGTATCTCTCCTTCTTTTCCTTTCTGAAATCTATAAAAATATATTTAAAAAAATAATAAATAAAAAAAAGAGGGAGATTAGCATAAGCTCTACAGCGTCTTCTGTGCTCCGTGTTGTGCTGGCTTTGGAGTTGTTGGGTGCCAAAACAGATGTTCTGCAAATCCCCTGGCAGAAGGAAACGTACAATAACGGGTGGCATTGGTAGAGTGCGGTGTGCATGGAAATGCCCCAGGGCACAAGCATGGGTTCTCGGTGGCTGGTCGTCTCTCTGGGCTTGTATAGTATAAATAATGTCACGGCAACACCTTCCGTCATTATGACCCACAGTCTTTCACTGTTAGGATACTCCCAAACAGACAGAGTTGGTAACCAAATTTTTCAGTCAACACAGGCTATTGCTTGTTCTTGAGACTGATTATGTGTAAAGTTGTGGGTCATATGAAAAAGCCTCGCTTCACTTTTCTTTCATTTTGTTAGAGGAAGTGGATCTTTGGAATCGAATGCTAGTTCTTCAGCTGCTAACTTCGTTAACCTGAAGAAATTATTTCATTTTGCTAAGCCTCTGTTTTCTCAACTGTAAAATGGGAATGATAAACCTAATTAAGGGAGCTAATGTACATAAAACAACACAGTACCGAGTTTTAATATTACTGCTTCTACATGCTTTATAAAATCTAAGGAGAAGGTTCAAGTACGTTAGAGCAGTGTTTTTCAACCTTTTTTAGGCAAAGGCACACTTGTTTCATGAAAAAAATCACGAGGCACACCACCATTAGAAAATGTTAAAAAATTTAACTCTGTGCCTATATTGACTATATATAAAGTAATTCTCTTGAATAGGAATCAAATAAACACAAAGAAAGTATTTTATAATTACTTTATTATGAAATATTAAGTAAACAAAATAGTGGAAAATTATAAAATTCTTGTCTTGTCTGCACCTACAGCACACCAGGCAACATCTCGCGGCACACTAGTGTGCCGCAGAACAGCGGTTGAAAAACGCTGCGTTAGAGTGTGATGGAGAGATCAAATATACACAGATAATAGTGTGAGGATTGCTGTAGTGTAGATGTGTCCTTTGGGAAGATGAGGGGAGTGTCTCCTGGTTGAAGGAGTTGGGTAAAACTTCAAAGAAAAGGTGACTTCTTTTGTGGGTTTTTCAGTGAAAAGTGTTAGTATGGGATACCGCTGGGATCTGCAATAGATTAAATATAGGCTTGCCCTGACCTGACCTGTAGTTAACAAAAATTATGCCTTGCATAGCTATTGATTTGTCTATAAAGTAACAGTTTTATTGGTAAGCACGTATATTGCAGAATAGGCTTGGTTATAATTCCAGTAAATCCAATTATTATTCAGGGTAACTATATATACAAGGTTAGGAATGAGAAAAACTCGTAGAGGCTAGATACACAAGAGTGGGTAAAAGTAGGTTAACAGTTGTGTGTATGTGAAACAGAGCTTATTTCTTGTATTATTATTTATTATTTCCAAACAACTGTAAGCCTATTTTTGCCCACCCCATATAATTAATAATCTACAAAACACCCTAGTAAATTCAATAGGAAAAAAATGTGTTGAAATTATGATTCATCATTCCACATATTTGTGACCATATTTAATAGCCTAATTAGCAATAAAATTTTACGAGTTAACATCACCATGGGAACATTACATTCCCTTCTACATTACCAAGTTTTATCTGTAGATTTGTAACGTTCCCATAAGCATCTTGATGTGTTTCCACAGTGAACCCAAGTGAACTTGCACTAATTAGATTTTTAGCTGCCAGTCTTGCTTTTATAAAGTTGAATCCATATACTTTCAGAGGATGTGTGCTATTTGGGGTGGTGAATCCTTCAGATCTTCCTAAACTCACAGAGAGAAGACAGACACATGGGAGAGGGGAATCATGTAGCAGAATCCCAGTTATCTTTCCTAAATGGTAATTTCACAATCTTTAACTTGAGATATTTCTCTAAGAGGCTTAAAAAACGTAGTAAAACTCCTTTCTGGGTATTTTCAGAACTCCCAGTTATAACTATGCACCAAATATGGACAAACACTGGATTATGCAGTACACAGGACCCATGCTGCCCATCCACATGGAATTCACAAACGTCCTCCATCGCAAACGGCTTCAGACTTTGATGTCAGTGGATGACTCTGTGGAAAGGGTAAGCACAGGAGCTCACCTCCCTTACAGGTTTTTGTCTAACTTCCCGTTCTTGTCCCACCTGTTTTGTTTTGTTTGTTTTTTTTCCATTTCTGTTTTGTTATTTTTGTTTGGTTTGGTGTGTTTTTGGTGTGTTTTGTTTTCCAGGAGAAGTGAAAAAGAAAACCTGTCAGCCTTCCCTTATCTTCTGCTCCCTTCTATTACCTCTCTAGACTTGGTTCTTATGGAGCCAATAGCGAAGAGGAAATAAAAATCAAATCATTTTAATTTCAAGGCAACATGCAAGTCAACACCCACAAATACCTTCAGGAATTAAGCGAATAATGTAAATAACGAAAGCAGATCCAGTAGAAGACAATAGGGTGTGGTGAGGATGGTGATAATCTTGAAATTAAGTTCCATCTAAAGCAAGGAGCAGCTACTCAGCTCCAGTCAACTTTTGCCCTGTGGAGTGTGAATCCAGAAATTCAAAAAAAAATTATTTGAAATTTCATTCATTTTAGAACAATATAAGCCAAGCAAGACCTGCCTACAGGCTAAATCTACCTGGATCAGGCTCAGAAACAGCCTGTTTTTAACCCTTGATAAATAGCTGTAAAACTGATGATATTAAAATTTGCTTTAACAATGAATGTTCTAAAGTAAAGCCTATAAGTTTGGTGCTGGAGGTTGCTTTGTGAATGTTTTGTGTGTTTTTGTTTTTGTTTTTCCTTGCAAACAGATAAACAAAAACATTTAAGGAACATGAGCCAGGTTAAAAAATGTTACTTTTTGCCGAAACCAGTTTGGCTCAATGGATAGAGCGTTGGCCTGCGGACTGAAAAGTCTCAGGTTCGATTCTGGTCAAGGGCACATACCTTGGTTGCAGGCACATCCCCAGTGGGGGGTGTGCAGGAGGCAGCTGGTCAATGTTTCTCTCTCATCGATGTTTCTAACTCTCTATTCCTCTCTCTTCCTCTCTGTAAAAAGTCAATAAAATATATTTAAAATAAATAAATAAAAATAAATTTTAAAATGTTACTTTTTTCAACTTTTATATTGGACTGTTTTCCTCCAAGATTGTAAGCAGCAAGAAAATGTAGTTAACATTTGCATTTGTCGGTCCTATTAAAGCAACATGTACCTTTTAAATATAACGGGGAAATTTGGGGGGAATCATTGCCATGCTGTTGCCGTCTTAGGCCATCACAACTGCTTCTGACTTGTCGCCGGGCTGTGTTGCAGCTGTATAACATGCTGGTGGACACAGGGGAGCTGGAGAACACGTACATCATCTACACCGCTGACCACGGCTACCACATCGGGCAGTTCGGGCTGGTCAAGGGGAAGTCCATGCCGTACGACTTTGATATCCGAGTGCCTTTCTTCATTCGCGGGCCAAGCGTGGAACCCGGATCCATGTACGTATTCCTCTGCTGGCGACGTTCAGCTGTCGTAGCTCATGGACGTCTGAGATAATTCGATTACTAATCTCAGTGTCTGGTTTCCTTTCATCCAAAACAAGAAAAGATTGCATCGAGGTTGGTAATCGAGAAGACGAAATCCTACACCGCCCTTGCCTCGCCACAGGTTAATTTAACTAAAGTATACAATTTAAAGAGGAAAAGTAACTGGGCCCATGATTAATTATCTGAAATGGACCAGAATCCATGTCACGTGGGCCTGTGTACACAGATATATGATATAACCATTAGGGACATCATCCTTACTTTGTTTGAATCAGAGATACACTATTTTAATGTGGGCCGTCCATCTTCTTAAATTAAATATTTTAAAGCATGATTTTAAAAAAAAGAAGAAGCCTAAAGGACTGGAGTCCCATTCCTGTCACCTTAGACAAGCCACTGCATCTCTCTTTTCTCATCATAATAGAGTTCATGTGACCTGCCAATCACAATAGGATGTTTTGTATAAAATGTGAACGTGTGCATGAAACAGTTATGGGAAGTGGGAGAAAAGAATGCAAGTAGAATTCAAAAGCTGCAAGGGCCCTTAAAGAGCATCGAGCCCAGACCCCTGGTTCAATGAAGAAACCCTCACAGCAAGTGTGCCTCCCTCTCAGAGTCCCAAGTCTGGAAGGAGCAGCACCGGGGCCCAGACCCAGATATCTGGCTCTCCCGGGAGAAGGCAATGGCAGAAAGAGGGGTTTCTAGGGAAAATGTTATTATGTCTCTTCAGGCCATTAGAAATGGTTGAATCTAGAACTAGAAGGCTTTATGTTTGAAAGTCTAGGTGATGTGGATTGGATTCACCTGTAAAAACCTTGTATCTTTCCTTAGAATTTTATTTTATTTATTTTTATTACTTTATTGGGGTGGCATTGGTTAATAAGATTATACACATTTCAAATGTAGATTTCAATAATACATGATCTGTATATTGCATTCCTTGCAATATAGAAATCGATTTTAAAGCCCTGGTTTAACAGAGAAGTTACAGGCTATCGGATTTTAAATATATATATATATATTTTTTTTTAATTGATTTCAGAGAGAAAGAGAGAGAGATAGAAACATCAATGATGAGACAAAATCATTGATTGGCTGCCTCCTGCTGGGGATGGAGCCCACAACCCAGACACATGCCCTGACCGGGAATCGAACTGTAACCTCCTGGTTCATTGGTCTACCCTCAACCTCTGAGCCACACTGGCTGGGCCAGGCTATCGGGTTTTAAAAGAAAGTATTCAGCCTTACAAAAACCATTATCGGGCCTCGATTTGTGTGACAGTGTGGCCAGAGTTCAGGGATCTGGGCATCTCTCCAGTGACCCCTGAGACAATTAATCTCGCTCCATGCCATCCCTGCTGGCCACTTGGCCGTGGCCAAATGCAGCTCCCTCCCTCGGAGACCAGCTGGAGGGGAGAGGCACTGGAGGCCAGTGAGTCATGGTGTGGAGCAGTGGTCGGCAAACTCATTAGTCAACAGAGACCAATATCAACAGTACAACGATTGAAATTTCTTTTAGGAACCGAATTTTTAAAAAAATAAAAATAAACTATATGGGTAGGTACATTGTTATTAACTTACTTAGGGTACTCCTAAGCTGGCCTTTGCTAAAAACTCAAGGGGCCAAAGAGCCGCATGTGGCTCTCGAGCCGCAGTTTGCCGACCACTGGTGTGGAGACAGCAGCCCCACATGCCACCCTCCACTGCCGCCGGCTCTGCGGCATAACCACCTGTGCCATTTCAGAGTCCCGCAGATCGTCCTCAACATTGACCTGGCCCCTACGATCCTGGACATCGCGGGACTCGACCCACCTCCCGACGTGGACGGCAAGTCTGTCCTCAAACTTCTGGACCTGGAGAAGCCAGGTAACAGGTGTGTCCATTTTCTCTCCCGCAGCCAGCCTTAAGCACTGGCTCCCAGAGCCAGCCAGCAGCCGGGGGAGATAGAAGCCAAGTAGCTCTCTCCCCCCACGTGGAGGACGCCACGCGGAGAGTCCCCCCGGGGGTTTGCATGTAGCCTGTAACGGAGGCGCAGTCATGGTCTGTGGGAAGCGAGAGGTGTTCCTTTAAACAAACCGTTAGCACAGCCCCTTTCGGAAAGGCGTCCAGCTGCCAACTGTAAATATTATTATTTTGCTTTCAGGTTTCGAACAAACAAAAAGGCCAAGATTTGGCGGGATACATTCCTCGTGGAAAGAGGGTAATTATTGGTGGCTTGGGTGCTTCTGGGAACCAGTCCTAGTGAGAAGCGCTCCCTGCTGGGTACTTCCCCCCCTTATTTTGGGTTTAAGCGTACAGATTTCATAAGTCTGGTAACAAAATTGAATGGTTTGCTAGTCCTTCTCCGCTGGCCAGAAGAGTCATGATGGTTGCATCAGAACCGCAAAGGATAAATCCTCATTAACTGTTACATGGCTGTGGATCTTACTGTTGTTTTCTCAGCCTTAATCAGACCAGTGAGTGGACTTTCTCAACCTTCCTTCCCAAGTTCTATCTGGCACCTTTCCACTTCCTTTCCTGGTGTGCCGTTCTTAGTTTTAAATATATAAACATCCGAGATTGTGGTTATTTCCATAGTTGCTTCTGGATTTCCCCTTTAGATTTATGACGCTCGATGGCTTTGTTTTTCTCCATCCACACATTGAGAAAAGGCATTTCCATGATTGCTTTTCAACAAAAAGAATTTTGAGTCTGTGAAGCTAAAATATGGGTCCAGAGCTTTGAGGAGAAGTGATTCCTCCTACCATGACCTCTCGTTTTCATAGCACCCAGCTCATCGAGAGGGACTCATCAAATGTGGAACACCTGTGGTCAGAGCCTTACCATCTATTTCTTGCTGTTTGAGGAATGTGGAGTCATGTGTCGGGGGGGGGGAGAACAGGAAGGTGGTAGGTAAGGTAACGCCAATCACTTCTTACTTAAGAAGCTTTTCCATTTCTGTCAAAGGAAATTTCTCCGTAAGAAAGAAGAAGCCAACAAGAATATCCAGCAGTCAAATCACCTGCCCAAATACGAGAGGGTCAAAGAGCTGTGCCAGCAGGCCAGGTACCAGACAGCTTGTGAACAGCCGGGACAGGTGAGTACACGGCTTTCTTCAGCACATGCGTATGTACCACCATGCATAATTCTCTATTTCTGATTTAAAATATTTTTAACATATAATGCGCATTTACATATGAATCAATTTTTCATAACAGTCCTGGATTGCTCACAGTTGCTCCTCTCCCCTGACTGAGAATTGTCTACCTCATCCAAGCTGGGCCTCCTCATTGCTGCTTGGGCTTCCTCCAATTAAAGGAGTTGGTGCTCTCAGAGAGGCTTCTAGATATCCACCCACCTAGCCAAAACTCGTTCAGGTTACCAGATACACGAGATGGTAGCCCCATTGGAAAGATCAGAGACTCATTCCCTCTGAGGATAAGGCACCTTCCCTGGGACTCTTCTTAACTGGTCGTCAAGAGAGAGTTGAAAAGCCACTTAGTCAAGTTCATGGGCAGATGCTAAGTCCCAAGAGACAAGATGGAGTCCTCCTACCCTGGACTAAAGTCAGACATCATCTAATTCAGAGAGGAGGTCAGACTCTATGACCAAGATTGGGAAGTGATGAGGGAAGCCATATTCTATTCGTTGATTGTTTCTGCCTTTGCTTACAAAATTTCCGACCTCAAATATTTCATTAGCATGAATCTTCATTAATAAAAATATTAGTATAGATTTCAGGGCTACCTATAACACCAACTGTTATCAATAAGAACTAAAGAAATACTGGGTGATGGCCGAAACCGGTTTGGCTCAATGGATAAAGCGTTGGCTTGGGGACTGAAAGGTCCCGGGTTCAATTCCGGTTGAGGGCGAATATCTTGGTTGCGGGCATATCCCCAGTAGGGGGTGTGCAAGAGGCAGCTGATCAATGACTCTCTCTCATCGATGTTTCTAACTCTCTATCGCTCTCCCTTCTTCTCTGTAAAAATCAATAAAATATATTTAAAAAAAAAGAAAAGAAATACTGGGTGATGAATTAACACAGACCCGTTTTTTAAGGAAAGTGAAAACATATGAACGCGAACTATTTTAAGCACTCGTGACTGAAATCTCTACTAGCTCAAAGAAATGCTGCGTAGCAACAAGAGGCACTGAATTTCTGCCTACTTAGACCAAAGTCATTGCATCTTAGACCAAACTCAGAGGAAAGAGAAAAAGAACTTTTATTGAGCATTTTCTTGTGTGAGGCTCTGTCCACAGGGTTTTCTATGTATTCGCTCAGTTTAATCCTCACACCTGCCGAGGGAGGTAGGCATTGTCCTTGCCATCTTACCAGTGGGCAGCTGGTGAGTGGCAGAGGTGGAATCCAAATGAGTTTTCAAAGACTCAGGCCACTCGCTGCCTCCTAGGGTAAGTTATACCCAGTAAGGAAAGAGAAGTTCAAATCCTCTAATCCCCTTATTTAAAAAAAACTTAACCTGCCGAAACCGGTTTGGCTCAGTGGTAGAGCGTTGGTCTGCAGACTGAAAGGTCCCAGGTTCCATTCTGGTCAAGGGCATGTACATTGGTTGCGGGCACATCGCCGATGGGGATGTGCAAGAGGCAGCTGATCGATGTTTCTCTCTCATCGACGTTTTTAGCTCTCTATCTTTCTCAGTTCCTCTCTGTGTAAAAATCAATAAAATATTTATTTTTTTAAAAAAGCCGAGACCAGTTTGGCTCAATGGATAGAGCGTCAGCTTGGGGACTGAAAGGTCCTGGGTTCAATTCCGGTCAAGGGCATGTACCTTGGTTGCGGGCATATCCCCAGTAGGGGGTGTGCAAGAGGCAGCTGATCGATGACTCTCTCTCATCATAGATGTTTGTAACTCTCTATCTGTCTCCCTTCCTCTCTGTACAAAAGCAATAAAAATATATTAAAAAAAAAAAAAAAAAAAAAAGCCTGACCTCTCGCTATCCACACAATTAGCCAACACCAGTTCAAGGAATCGGACGCATGAAATGAAGATCCCAGTTATTATGACAGTGGCCTCGTCGGTGGCACTCTTTTTAGATGGTATCCAGCTTCTTGAAGAGACATTCACAATAAGCAGCTTGCCCCTCCCCATCTCCATTCCCTCGTGCTTTCTGTACACAGGGAGGGATCCCTTTGAAGCAGAGCAGGGCGAGGTGGAGCGCTGTTGAAGGAAAGGATAGCTCCAGGCCTTCCCGGTCGCCTAGTAAAGTCTTAATTTTCAAGAGTTTAGTGGAGAAGCTTAGACCTATTCATTATATTTTAATTTGAGCTCTTCTAATCCTTCTTCTGGAAGCTCTAAGTATTACTGCGACTGAAACCTCAGAATTGTTTTTGTAGCGCTAGCATGATGTCCATGCACCAGCCTCCACAGGCTAATTTACTTCTGTTCCGAAGCTGGAAATGTTTGCTGTGAAATCTCTCTCAGGCAAATGGGTGATCTTGTCACTATTTTGGGCCTCTGAGCGACCGGCATTATTATTATTACCATTTTGTACTGCCTACCTTTCAGTACATAATTTTGTAAACCTCTCTCTGGAGTTAGTGCTGAAATCTGAACATATGTTCTAAAGGGCGAAGGGAGCATAAAAGGTATCATGTTCCTTTGGCCCCACACTCATCACACGTGTGCTCACTGCTATATTAAAAACTTCACTTTGCTTTCGCATAGTTTTCTTCACTTTTTTTGCCCCCATGAAATGCTTCACTCTCTGGCTTCCTGAAATGTTCCTCTGCCGCTGTTATTTCTGTGTTAAGCAGTTTGGGTTTTGATTCTATCACATAAATATAGGACTTCAGCGGTGATCTCTGCTAAAGAGCCTGAAGTCATGGGCTCAGGAATTCGACTTTGCCTCTGAAGGTGATTTCTTTAAGAGTCTGAGAACTTCAAAAAAGTTGAGCCTCCTCAAGGCGACTGTTGAACCTGCAGGGCAAACCTGACATAGCTCAGTTGTTCTATGGAATCAAGGTATCTTGGCCTTTTTTGCTCTATCTGGCTACTTTGAAGATTATCTTTTTAGTTACAACATCACTGACTTTTTAAAAATAAAAAAAAGGAGAAAAAGATTCAGAAAAATGAGATCTTATTGTTCAGGATTAAGGCAACAGTTGGCCAGAACTTAACTAGCTTGGACTCTCTTCTCTCGACATTGACCCTCCATGGGGTACAGAGGAAAAATAAGCATGACCAGCCCATGCCCTTCACCACCCCTCAAGGCCTGGTCTCCTAAGGATTGGGTGGCAGCAGGACCAATGTAGATGCAGGAAGTCAAGTACATTTTTAAAAGATGAATTCAAGTCACAGGTTTGGGTTAGAATATTGGCATCCACTACTTTTTAGTGGTGCATTCTTGGACCAGCCGCTTAATTTCTCCTGAGTCTCAGGATTTCTATCTCTAAAATGAAGAAAATCAATCTCAATTTTATGAGGATAAAGTGATATCATAATCTCATAATCTCACAATATCATAATCTCAGTCTTACCAGGATAAAGTGATACCATACAGGCACAGGCTGGGAGGACCGTAAAGCAGTGTGTGAATGCCGGGTGTGGTATGGTGCCAGGCCGTCTTACCTGTTGTCTTCATTCCTAGGAAGCCAGCGGGGAATGGAAATGGGCTGGAATCCCAGACATTGGCATCCCTTCTGGCATCCCTTCTCCACTATGTGAACAGAACAATCAGCAGGGATTAGATAAGACAGCATGGGCGTGTGTGTGTGTGTGTGTGTGTGTGTGTGTGTGTGTGTATGTGTGTTTTATTTCTGTGTTCCTGAATTAATATGAGACCGAGTGTGAATTCCCACCATTCTCTCAGCTGGAATTACACCCCTAGCACCTCTATGTACAAAGATACTACATCAAATCCTCCTCTCTCTCTCTCTCTCTCTCTCTCTCTCTTCTCTCCCTTCTTCTCTCTCTCTCATCGCGCTCTCTCTCTCCTCCCCTTTCTGCTCTTCTTTCTCTCTCGCCTGCTCCTCTCCCTCCCTCCCTCCCTCCCTCCCTCCCTCTCTCCCACTCTCCCCCTCTCCTCCTCTCCCTCTCTCCCCCTCCCTCCCTCCATCCCTCCCTCCCTCTCCCTCTGATGTGCAAATCTCATCTGTCTGCAAAGACTTTGGTTCCACAGAGAACATGGACCCATGCTACTCAATTCTGGCTGCACATCAAAGTCACCTGGGGAGCTTTTGAAAATATTGATGCACAGCCTCACCCCAGACCAATCAGATTATATTGTTCAGAGGGGAGTCAAAGCATCAGTATTTTTCAATAGGGTTCCGAACCACAGGCCCTGAATAAGAGAATGCCAGAGGTGGCAGGGGAATGGAAATCTGCCAGTTGGATGATATCACTTAGTTAAGAAAGAAATCTAGAGCCAGAAGACTTAAGCTATAAATCCAAAGTCAGGACTTGTACCTGTTCATTGCATGTCTGATCATTTCTTCCCCACAACATGCAGAAATGTAAGAGAGGAGATGTTCCCTTGGACATTCGAAGTGGCATTTGCCTGGCTGCAGGCATGGGTGTAGGACCCACGCCCAGCATCGGAGACAGTGGTCTCAGCCATGACCACAAGTTAGAGTCACAAGCACCTTGCAGATGCTGCTGCCCAAGTCCTGCTCCAGACAAATTAAACCAGAGCCTCTGGGGGTGGGACTGGGCATCGGGGTGTTGGTTTGAGCAGTTGAGAATCATTCATGTGGGGTCAGCATAATTTTCCTTTTTTTCCCCCCCTATTGACTCTTAAATAGGAGTTACATAAAAAGAAATTCCCTACACACCCAATTCTGGAGTACGTCTTACACGTGCTCTGTCACTTAAGAGGAAAAATGGTTTGTCTTTATACAGCAAATGTCATGTCCCCTTATGGGTTTGTTGAGTGCTAGCATCTTTGCAATGTAGTTCGCCTTTATACCTTTGTATCAATATAGAATCAAAGGTTTGTAAGATCCTAAGAGGATCCCAGCATCAAGCAAAGGAAATAAGGAGGTAGCTTGTTGAGTGCAAACTGGTTTAGTTCCAGGATTGCTGTTCTCATCCAGAACTCAGCCCTCAGACCTTCTGTGATCAGCTGCAGAGCAAAGAT